CTTCCTCCTCTGGGGCGGACGGCCGGGCGCTGCTCTTTCGTTTGCAGCCCCGCCGGGGGCGGAGGAGACGCTTGCGGGTCTGCCGGGGCGGCGGCGCAGCCGACCCTCTGGAAGGTGGAGACCCTGGTGGGGTAGCGAAAGGCGCTGAGGCAGGGAAAGTGGACGGGAGGCGCAGGCGCGCGTTTCCGAATGCCCGGCCGAGCGCGAACGGTGTCTCAGACCTGGACTTGGGTGCAGGCGGAGCAAGGCGCTCCTCACCTGGCTGCTGAAGTGGGCCTAGAGGAGCTTACAATAACGGGAAACACCCTACCCCGAGCAAATGGGCTTGAGGCCTTTTAAACAGAGACCCCAAAGCCGTTTGCCTCTGCCTACCCCGCCAGCTGGCTTCTGTTTAACAGACGCTTGTTTTCCCCTTCCCACACCGAGCTAGAGGCAGGATCCTAAAGCGGTCCTACCAAAAGCATCCTGGGAAGCAGCAGTTCCGCTTCCCCCTGCGTGGGTCAAGGACCGTGCCCAGTTCTGGGCTGTGTGCTTGGAGGAGGAGGAGGATTCAGACAACCTAGAACGGGCACCCTTGGGACTGGCAGGGGTGGGACTGGATGGCCTAAGGGGCTCCTAGGTCGGCCTTGCTTCTTCGAAGCGGCCCTGGGAATTCATGCAGCCGCTGTTCACAGAGGAGCTTCCAGGAGGGCTTTGAGTCGGTCCCAAACTAGCTCGTTGTTGCCGTGAGTCTCTGTTGCTGGTGTCTGGCGCAGCCGAGCCCGTTCCTTTCAGTCTCCCTCACAGTGCATCCCAGGTCACGTTAAGCACACGTGGCCCGTCCCAGCTTCCGTGTTCAGCCACCGCAGCTTTCTTCAGATGCAATGGGGGGAGAGCAGCCCTGCAGCTGGGTGGTCCCCATAGGCAGAAATTGCCAGAGAAAAGGCCAGGATGTGAAAGAAAACCCTTGAGGGCCAGAGAGCAGGGCTTCTGAAGGCCGGTTCTTGTGCTCCTGAGGAACTGGCTGGACAGAAGATACCAATGAGTTCAGTGTTTTGAGGCTGACAGCAGCAATATCAAGCAGGATGCAAAGCAACAACCTTAATTTGCCAAAAAGCAACATTGCAAAGCATTTCTGACCCGGCAGTTCAGCGGTGGTGCCAGCAATCCAGAGAGGCGAGGGGCTCTCCTTCCCTAGATGTGTTCGGGCAGAGGCTTGGCAGCCTCCTGCTGCAAAAGCCTTAATTTCACCCTGTCCAATATGAAACCTCTTGGAACTCTCTGTTCCTACAGTGTGTTGAGCTGTGCTGTGTTCAAAGGAAGGGACCAGGTTGGCAAAATATAATTGGTTGGATTGGATTTTACTGCATGTTTAATTCAGTAACTGAATTAGCTCTTCGTCTGGGTGCACACCATACTTGGAATCATAAAGTAATCAAACAGGTTTTTGCAACGTATCGAATGATGAAAGAGAAACCAGATGCAGCCGGTTAGGGAAGAACTTCATGCTGCGTGTACAGAAACATTAACCGATGGTGGGGCTTGTCCCCTGAGATCTATACCTGGCTTGCACCCAATGGCAACGTGTTCTGGTTACTCATACACATTTCACCGTTCAGTTTTATAATTGATGGTGGGAATCCACATTTGGGAAGGGCAGGGCAGGGAAGTACAGCTCTCTGCCATCTGGGGCGTGCAGCCCAAAGTTTCACTCTTCTGCAGTTCATGGAGAAAACCATGCAAGAAAAGATTTTCATTGTACCCTTGCCAATTTAGAGAAAGCATACAATAAAGTGAACGTACTTAAATTGTGGAGCATTTTGCATGAATATGAAGGTGGGTTGCTAAATGCGGCAGTGGTGCGTCGGGGCAGGTGACCGTCGGGATGCCTAGAATGGACTGGACGCCCAGCAAATGCCCTGCGCTAAGCAGGGGGGAGGCAAGCTGGGGGGGGTGTCTGCTCAGTTTTTTGATCTCCGCATGGAAACTTGGAAAGTTTGTGTGGGAGATGTGAATAGCGTGTATTTTTCTGTGCAGAGGATGCTCGACGGGGAAAACGAAACATTTTAAGTTCCGCGTAAATGGTGAAATGCTAAGGCAAGTAGAGGAGCGTGCATCCTGCGGCGCGACGTTTTCGAAAAACGGATCGAGACCGTGCAAGACCGGGAAGCGCTGCCGGAGCGGGCGGCGGGTGCTCCGTGGCGAGCAGGGAAGGGAGAACCGCGGGGAGCAGCGCGAGGAGCTGCGAGGAGGGATCGACCGCGGGGCGCGTCTGGCGGAAGACGCGAGCGCGGGGCGAACGCGTGGCGAAGCCCGGCGGACGAGCAGGCGGCCCGCGCGAAGGCGGTTGCTCCGCCCAGGGGGCGGGCCGGGGCGGGCCGTTGGCGCCCCTAGCGACGCCACTCTCGCCGCCAGGGAGCCGCCCGCCCGGGCGCCGCGGCAGC